ACCAAAAGGAAGCATACAGTGAGTATGTTTCATAATCTACTTACATTTTCATCAAGGTTTCATCAGTTCAAAAAGTGTTGGGAAGTCTAGGTAATTCAATATTAGGTTCGTTTAACTTTAGTAAGGTTATTCCATTCATTCGTTCATTCATTCAACTAGATTTTAAAGGTGAAAACATTGCAGCAATGCTCAACAGAAGAGTGAGTACGTCACTAGCCAGAGCCTATACTGCAGCTAGCTGAGCTGGTTCCCGTCCATCGAACAGCATGCTCTTTGGTGCAGTCAAAAGTCGACAGATACCCTTCTCATGTTAGCAACTCCAACTGTGTGTATACAAATTTACGTGTATCTGCAAGAGCAGTTACATTGGGAGAACAGGAAAAAGGCACACACGCCTCCGATTTTCTAAACATGTGCCAAAAATCACACGTCTCAAGGGAACAAACTTTTATAATAGCGCTATTACCAGACATCTCCTCGATACGAGTCATGAGGTTGAAATCGCGAAATCCTTTAAACTTATCAGTAGACAAAGGAGCTCCATTCTCCTCAAGTTTGCTGGAGCAATTTCTATCAAACGCTTGAAACCAGATTTATGTGTTCAGAAAGAAGCAGTTATTAGTCTTACCTTGCCCAACTGGTAACCGGATGTCTTCATTCTTTCTTTCATTGGATTACGTAATCTTTAGCTTTAACCTCACCTCTTCGGTACTGTGTAATTTTGCTTGTCTCTTGTTCCTGTGATTTGAGTTGACCTCAGTACATTGTTACCTAATTTACTAGTCGCTCAGCATCTTATGCATCTCTCGTCTTTATTACGCAACTCCTTTTGTTTAAACTTGAACTGCCTGTGTAAAAAAACTATATAAGCGCAATTTTCTGAGCACTGTCCACTAATTGTGGAACTTTCTGTCAACTGACAACATGTAAAATTTGCAAGTATGTTAAAAATTTTCTGTACATAAACGTAATAATTTATTTAGGCTGTAAGCAGCACCAAATGAGAAGCCAAAGAAATAAACAAAGGATAGTACCATATTATTCTGCACAAACCACTGTTGCTCTTGCTTCATCAAGGGGAATAAATGCATGAAGATTATTCCAAATCGTTTTTTAAACAATTTAAGTCCTGCAAAAAGGCGATGAATATTTGGGGATCGGATGTGGCGGAAAAGACAATTTATTCCATAATAATCATCAGTGTTACTTCATTTTTCAGTATTCACAAGTTATAGTATCAAGATTTTGAAGTCTCATTAATGTTGTTTAAAACTATACTGAATCAAAAGTATTGATTGGTGATCACATTTGAAAGGCATCATTAACAGAGATATTGATATAACACTAAACTGACTGAATATTAGATGAGTTAAGTGGAGCAACTCAGATTTCATGAATTTATTGGCTCGACAACAGGCCAGGGGAGCAATAGTGACTGGCTGGATGTGTTTCTTTTTCACCCATTGCTTAGGTTGGTTTGGGTAATAATGATAAAGTAGCCTTACGAAGTCCTTTGTGACCTATTCTTCCTGAAAGATTTATAGAAAATCTACAAACAAACTCACTTAGATCCCCAATTGCAGGAACTAGTTTTTGTGCAAAGTACGTAGATGATGCATTCGTGACTAGAGGATATATGGACCAGGTTTGCAGATTACTCCTAATCTTCCACAATGAAGATGCAGTTGTGTTCTTTGAGCTGGATGGTTTACTTGAGAATCATTCACTGACTTACTTGGTAATATCTTGTTGACCTCATTCAATAAATGTGACTAATGAACCCGTGGGGAAATTTAGAAAAGCTCACATAAAATTGAAGTACGCGTTGTAGATGTTGCCTATTAAGGCAGTGAAAGCTTCTCAAGTAAACTTCAAAAATGTGCATCAAACCTTTATTTTCATAATGGAATATGTAAGCACAATTTCTTTTCTTTTCTTGGATTTGTTAATGAGAAGAGGACGAGATGACGGTATAATCGAGATTGGGGTGGAGAGCAGTTAAACTATGCTAGTTTCTACTCAATAAAGTGCACAGATGGATTGATGCAGAATGCCAGAATATAGAAACTTTGTGCTGAAGAATGACTGAGTGCACAGTTGGGCTTTCCTGGAGATGTAAATTCAAAGAAATTCATAAAACGATTCGAAAGAGATTACAGTAATGAGAAGAACTTTGTTACAGCCTAGAAGAAGTTTGTATTTACCTAGGTGACTTTCAGAGGAGGTGATGTATCACACAAAACAACAACAAGACAGAGAGCTGTTCATACGACAAATTATCCAACAGCTAAACCTGTCCCTATTTAAAGTACTATTTGTATCCTTTATCCAATGGGAAGTGGACAGATACACAGCAGATGTCACTTCCAATTGTGTTTATGAATTAAAATGTACATACCTGATTAAGTAGGTTGGAAGAAGATAAAAGTGCGCATATGTTTACTCCGCTGAATATATTCGAAGAAGTCTGGTACCCAAAGGTCATAGTCACTCGCCAGTGCCACTGGTTGACACTTCATCATGCTAAACTTCCGTCAAATGAAATAAAAATGTATGTTCTTGTATCTCACATACGCTGTAAACACTTTTAAAGCTTTGTTACTCTCCAGTATAAAAGAAATTTAGTAAAGATCCTCACCAATAAGGTTAGAGCTAATTATTTGGAAGATACGATTGAAGGAGAAGTTGTATAAAACACGAAAATTCATCACGGACACCCTAAAAACGTCATTAATCAACGCATGCCCACGAAAGTAGAAAGGATTTTTCTGTATCCGTTAATGAGAAGCCTCAATATAAATGACTACAATTCAGAGGTGACCCACACGAAGTGAAATAACAACGAACAAGTTGAGAAAAATCGATTCAAAGAACGTTGAGTCCCTATGGGCGGCGGGTTATATTTTCCACACAATCGGTTATGATTTCAGAACTGGAAGATGAAATACCTAGACCAGCTATCCACCTGTTATTGTATCCCTAAATCCAATGGGTTCTTTGGAGTCAGTTATATTGACCGTTGGTTGCTCTACGAGTATAATTCTTCGTGGTTGCTCTGGAACTGGCGTCCTCAAAATCATCAACGTGTTCATATTACATCACCCCTTCGAAACATGCCACAAAGCTAATAGAATTGAAGCATCTTCCTCTATCATCTTCAGGCTATCGAATAATTTACAGAAGGCATCCGTATACTGATCAGAAGAGTTCATTGAAATTCGATTGTATCGATCGGCTCTTTGTGTGCAAAATCTAATTTCTTCCTGTTCAATAAATACATGCATTTGTGTTATTTCCCTTAATTCTTCTGATATTCAATCAGTTTCTGTTGACAGCTGTCTGCAAGCCAGAATTGAAGACAAAAATTTACGTCGATGTTCACGTCTCGAATCGGGGTCATGAGAAAAAAGCAATAACAATGCTAAATCTTGGGGAACTCACCAACCAATCACAACGGACTTGACGTGTGAAAATACGATTCGCAGATATATGGCTTAACTTTCTATGAAACGGCCGTAAACAGATGACAGAATAACCTTCAGGAAGAAAACAACCAATCAGAAGAGGTTGCTTCTGTGCTAAGAATAACGCTAATAATAATGTACACTAAAATCTAGAAATATCTGTTGATTTTCTGAAAAAACGATCTGTTGCCTGGCCCTTGTCTTCTGTCGTTACAAGTTTAGTGTTGTATTAGTGCACATTATCTCTCTTTCCTTTACTGATGCTTATGCAATTTGGTCAGCTGTCGATACGACTGACCGAATGCAATTTAAAACAAAATTGATGTTGTTAATGACAATACGGGGTCAGTTGCCCATATATGTATAACCTGTTGATAATTTTGTTAAAAATATGTAAGAGAACATCGCCTTTCATGGCTGCAAAGAGGATGCACTGGTTCAGTCAGAAGCTCCATTGCTGAACACCTCATCAATACTTTTCCCAGTATCTCAGCTGACTAATCACATAGATTCATTTACGAAGTGAACGAAAATCTACCAAAGACAGTTTGTTTATGACTTTTTTGTGTACTTCAGAATCCCTCGCCATATGAATCGAGAAGCCGAGCTATATGCTCCAAAGAAACTAATCCAATGTCTACATTCACCTTGGATCTAGGTCTTTGCAGGCATTTTCGTTAAAAGACTGTTTTCTAATGCTGCTCAGTTTTGTTCCTTAGCCACCTGCAATCTATATTCACGCATTCCGCCTTTCATATCAAGCTGAAAATTATCATCACCTTAAGTCTGTCTCCTTCGTTATTATGTAGAACTAAGTAATTATTGTATCTATGTAAATTTATATTTATAAAAGTGCGATTGTACATCTGATTTTGAGAATGAAATTGCCAAAAGTTTCGGTTGCGCTATGTCGTGAATTGGCAGAAGTTAGATTTCATGGACCTTTGGATCGGGTCCCAGTAGCTTAATGGTCTACGAGCTAGCTCGCCTTGTAACCAGAAGGTCCTGGGTTCCAGCCCTAGCGGTGGTTGTGTGCTGACGAAGGGTCACAATCTATGACGAAACAGCTGTCCAGTATTTCCAGGTGGTTTTCCAATGGTTCTCTAATCAATATCAGCTCATGATGAAATCCTGTATACAGTCAACCAAATCCGTACAAACCAATATTTGAATATCAATGAGATGCTCACTAGTGACTGGCCTTATTCAGGTAGGTAGTTACCCGATGAAATCCTGTAAAAAGTTTTCTGTTTTCTCCTGAATACTTCTAGTTCTTTTCTCTATAATTTCCTGATTGGTATTTTCCACGATTTGATATATGCAATACAACTCTCTACAATATGCCCCAACTATACAACCATGATATTCCCTTTTAATTCTGCTGAACTTTTAACAAATCTCATTAACAAACAGACTTCTCATATATATCTATATATATTTCATCCAATATTAATTAAATAATTCGAGATATACAAGAAAGATAGGGGTTGATTTCATCAAATTTGACAATTGAAAATCTTAACCATTGAACATTGTTTAAATAAACGATAGGAAATTTGAACAAGAAAGAATCTGATAAGATTTCAAAAAAATGTAATAAAGACAGACAATTTCAATAGAAATTATGTACATAATAGAAGTGAAACAGTGGAATAACTCTCACTGAGAAAGAGAGAAATGGAAGTGGAACTGAGTAAAAGTAGGAATAACTCAATATATATATGTATAGCAGCATAATGTGTAGAAAGATAATATCTTTCTATATGTACAAGATGAGTACTTTGTTAAATATGTCTGTTCACTGGAATTCTTGTTCATCTGCTCCACGACAAACTGGTGTGTTTTAAATTTTCAATGAAAGACAAGTAAGTAAGTCTTTGAAGCAGATTAACTTGGGATGTGGAAGTGGTCTGCTGAACAGTTGATGGAACGACATTGGTGTAGAATGAAAGTTGAATTTAGCTTCCTAACTGCGAAGATATTTGGGGGCTCCTGAAAATTAAAAAAAACACCATCTTATAACGTTAATAATAAACAGTGATAGATGAAAGGAAAAAACAACTGTATATTTTTCAATTACTTTTAAAATTCTTGAATAACGTATTGGTGATTAGAAATGAATGATCACCTCAACTTCCTCAAATTTGAAAATGCCTTTGACAGCTTTGACGGCCAAGTAATTTGAAAAGTACTTCAGCACTACGGGGTGCCTCAAATTTGTACCAACCTCATTTAACAGCTAAATGACAATCCCAAGTGTCAAATGATCCACAGCGTAAAACTCAGAGAAGATTCCGAAGTAAAGACAACAGTAAGACAAGGTGGGTGACTACTATCAGTTTAGATATTCCTGATTGTGGGGAACTGGATTATGCAGCAGGCTCTGCTTGGGAATGCGTTGGACCCATAAAAAGGCTGTAGAAGATATATGCTCCGCGGGTGATTTATATCTCGAAGACTTCCAGACAAAAGCCAAAATGTTGGCGGAAGAGTTGACCGGCAAGGAAAGGACTTCACGTGAACATAGAGAAGATAGAGGTGATGAAGATAACCAACCAACAACAAAAACAAGCACCAACTATTATCAGCGGAATAGGTTTGAAAGAGGTCACCTTCCTCACTTATCTAGGGAGAATCGTTTCAACTACGGGCAGTGGGCACGCATCAGAATGTGAAAAACAGAATCGGAAAGGCTAGATAGGCATTCATCATTCTGAAATCACTTTGCAATCTTCTCCACTCCTCAGCATTAGGTACAAAATTCGGATTGTTAGCACTGACGGGAAATCGGTCAGTTCTTCTGTATGGGTCAGAAATTCAGCCCGTCAACCGGTAACATTTCTGATAGACTGAAGACTTTTATCAACAGTTGCCTTATCTGGCTCCATACTGAATATCATATGGCCTTGGAGAAGAGATCGGCTGGAAGAAACTCTGAGAACAAACTAGTAAAGAACCTTCTGCTCAATAAATATAATGAAGAAAACAGAGATGGATCAGATTGGCTCAGGAGACCGTTAGGTGCCAACGCGTGCCAGACCGTCGTTCGAGTGAAACCTGGGTGAGAAACAACGAATCAGGTGCGTATCGCGAGATTGACACAGAAGAGATCTTTTGAGGAGAATATGAGGGACTATGGAAAATCGTGTTTCTAGATGAATTGGACTGGAGAGAAGAGGATGCAACTGAGATGTGCTGCTGAAGCCACATGTGTGCGTTGGTGGCACTTGTGTGCGTCGGTGGCACAGTGGTTAGGACTCTCGCCGACCATGCACATGGTTCGGCGCACACCCGATATCTATGGTCAGCCTGAATTTGGGCTACCGATATCCATGCTGAAAATTCCACACTTGTAATGAAAATACGGTGTGGAATCAAGCTGTAAATCAAAATCAAAATCAAATAAATAAATGTTCCACTCGGAACCCAAGCGGATAACAGTAATAATGCATTGCATGGAATGAAAATTACTGTACACTTTCAGGGTATCGAAAGAGTTAAGCGGCTTTAGTACACTTATTCCGCTAATATTACTTCACTATAAATACGGTTATTGTTTCTTCGTAGACTGTGAATTTAACGTTCCTTCTCAATCCTAAAATAAAATTCGTATCCGTCATATATTACTAGGCTGTTCTTAAGGAATCTATCAATCCCGTAACATCAGAGTATCACTGGCTGTACTTACGACTGATATCATCCTTTTCTGTAGGAATAAATCTTGTGAAACTTATAAGGAACACTTTTACTATGATGAAAGTGGCAAGCGTAAGTACCTTATAGCAAAATGACGACGTTCAGACACAGAGGTACTGAGGGTATAAGATATGTCACTAAGTCACTTAAACGACACAGGATTGTGAGTTAATCAGCAAGCAATTAGACACATTTATTCTGATGGTTCTGAACAGCGAAATCAAACTTAACAAAATTGGAAAGACTAGCTCTAATTAGTCGAAAACAGGATAAAAACATCGTCATCACAAAAGCTGATAAAGGAAACTCTACAGTAGTTTTAGATAAATCTGACTACATCAAGAAAGTCACTAAACATATTGAGACGGGTCCATATGAGGAAATTAAGAAACCTGTAGATACAGTAATGAATGCGATTAAGAAATCTACAGCGGATTTAATAAGGAGAATGAAACCATCACTGGCTGAGTCTAGATGGTTTAATTTAATGCCTAAAACTAATAACTCTAGTAGAATGTATTTTTTTTTTTATTCCTTCACGTTCCAGTGGAACATAGGGCTTCAAGCTAGAGACTTGAAGTTTCTGTAGCAGTGTTTATTTTTACAGGATGAGGTTGCTAACCTCATGCCCAACCTTTCCTCTTCGCCAGCTTTTTAATTGTGACTTACCGAGGTAAAGGAGTGCGCCGGCCGGGGATCAAACCCCGGACCATGTGCATGGTCGGCAAGCGTCCTAACCGCTATACCACCGACGCACAGTAGAATGTATGCAACTATTAAAATACATAAGCCAGGTTACCCCATACGACAAATAGTGGATTTCAGCCTAAGGTGGAGCATTTTTAAGCACAAAATTCTGCCATTCCTGGTCGTTGCAAGTGGAACATACATAAAGGCATCTGGCTGCCGTACACTACACCTTCTGTCCACAGGTTAGCCGGGTGTGTGTAGGTTTGGAATCCGACCCCAACCTCTCGCAGCACTAGTGAGAGCTTTCATTCATCAAACTATTGAAGAATAATTTTCAAAATATAATCATATAATCCCCTGGGAATTTTACAGGCAAATATATTAAAACCTATTCTTATTTTTAGTTGTTTATTGTTTTTATTATTGTTATTTTCAAGGATTTAAACAAACAATTTACTGTGTTGCTATTTTTTGTTTGCTAATTAAGGATTAGGATTATTTCTATCAGTCTTTGGTAACCAGGTAACAGAAGTAATTTATACTCTGAAAGGTGATCATCTCAGAAATACAACTTGTTATCATGTTTTATGTAGTATTTATTGTAAATATATATATATATATATCACTCTCAACCGTTTAAGCTGCATTACGCTCAAGTTAAGATGGCTATAGAGAGTTATTTGTAAACTTTCACGATAAGCCCGTTAAATCAACAAATCTAGATAAATCCCTAATATTCCACTATCATATCATGTAGTTTTTGTAAGAATAACCAGCATTCAAGCCTGATTAAGCATAACGTTGGATGGAAATCATTTGCTCAGAAATAACTGCTCATGGTGAGGAAATAAATTATCATTATTGTTATTATTAGCAGTTAATTTGTGGGAAATAAACAATTAAAGAGGATTTCAAGTGAAATTATGTGTAATGGTAGGGATCACATAAATTAACCCTTTTATAAGCCAGAGGAGAGGGCATTAAATCAGGAGGAGATATTTTTGTGCATGTTTTGCACTGAAGTTGGCATTAATAATGCTTCTTTGAGCTGTAAAAGATAATTCAAAACAACCCTCCAACTGAGATAAATTGACAAAGAAGTCAGTGATCTTAATACAGCCACAATTTTCATATCATTTTTGAGTATTATGGGTCAATGTTACATTGTGAAGTTTTGCAGAGTCATGAACCACAACACTAGCGGATGACATGCCTTTTCTGAAGTATTTTCGGGTGATATTTTCAAATATAGGCTACATGTATTGTCAAATGCCATAAAAATTCGAATACTTATAGGTGGATACCAACAAGTTGGCATAAGAGCCAGGCAACTACAAGACACGACTCAAAGTGAAGGTACAGAAGATGTAGATGACGAAGATAATCAACCGCCAACAACCACAAGCACCAACCACTACCAACTGGATGAATTTGAAAGATGTCACCACTCTCATTTGTCTAGGAAGCATCGTTGCAAATACAGGCAGTCGGCACAGATCAGTATGTCAAAGCCGAGACATTCACCAATCTCCTATCAATTTGGGAATCTTCTGTAGTCAACATAAACAACAAAATTTGGATTTTCAACACCAATGTTACGTCACTTCTTCTGTATGGGTCAGGAACATAACGCATGTGTCACCATAGGCATTTTCAGCAGCTAGCCTCACACGTTTATCAATGGCTGCATTCGCTGGCCAGCAATAGAGAATTAGAAACTAGAAACTTTGGGAAGGAACCAGCCAAGAACCTGTTGCTCAAAGGACATGATGCATAAAATGGAGGTGGATTGGAGGCACGCTGAAGAGACCATTGAATGGCATTGTGTGCTAGGTCATCGATTCAATGGAGCCTGAATGAGGAATGATAAGTTGGATGTTGGTTCGAGGTTGAATTGGAGGGGATCGTATGCGGAGGAAACAAGAGACTATGTGAAATCGTGGAGACAGCTGAAGAGAACTGTACAATTTAATTCCACTATTTAGAAATGTCAGAAGGTAATTTTTACTTGATTCGTACTTTTAGTCAGAGCCAATTAATCATGTCTTTTGGATGTAAGCAGCTGATGAGAAGCCAACGAAATAAATGATGGTACCATTTTATTCTGCAAAAACTGTTGTTCTTGCTTAATTCATATATACATATATATTGTATATGATGTCTTTCACAAGAATATTGAGTAACGGATTGACGAATTAAGTTCTAAACAGAATTGAAAGACCCTTGTGAAGCAAAATAGAAATTATGAATGTAAGGCATAAGATGTACATGTAAGCAGTGCTTCCATAATCGTCAGAAATCCAGTAATTTGTACTGACAAACTGAAACAAACTAGGAGCTAGATGCCACATTTAACATAAGTTTGTCGATTGAACCTTGTGCAGAATGTAATTCCACTGTAAAATTAACAGTACGTCAGAAGGGTAGTTCATTTCACCTGTTATTCATTTAGAAATTAGCAGTATTAGCATTCTACACCACTAATGACATTTGACTGTTGATGAAGTTGATTAACGAGTGGGACATGTTGATAACTTTTGCATGACGATGTACAACTGCCTTCTAGTTTTAATGGTTATCAATTATACATCCACTTTGTGACTATG